TCACCGCTTTTTTCGGCGTTGCTGCCTTCTTGACGGCCGCTTTCTTGGCTGGGGATTTCTTCGCTGTCACCTTCTTGGCCGTTGTTTTCTTCACGGCTGGTTTCTTGGCGGATACTGCTGGTTTCGCCTTCTTTCCCACTTTTGTCTTGACTGGATTCTTAGGGAGTTTGAAGGAGCCGGAGACGCCCTGGCCCTTGACCATAACCAGGGAGCCTTTCGCCAGACACCTCTTGATAGCTCCCCTGATCTGTGCATTTTGCTTCTCCACATTGACCTCGGTTCTCTGCAGCGCCTTCTTTATAGCGGCCAGAGACGTCCCCTTCCGACCGCTGCTCTCGCCGACAATCTTCACAATCCGCTCGCCCAACCCGGGACCGGCTGGTTTTTTCCTGGGAGACGCCGCCTTCTTCTTCTTGGGAATCTTGGGTTTGGTGATGGCGGAAGCTGGAGGAGCCGTTTCGGCGGCTGCACTGTCGCTCATGTCGAGAACTCTGCGCTGAATCTCTAAGTCAGACTGACCTGGGTCAGCAATGAAGCTGCTGGTGGCGGCACTGAGCAACTTAGAGGCAGCGAGCGGACGGCGCGGAGACAACCTGCCCTCAGCTCCCTGCTCCTGCTGCCTCTCTGTGTTTCTCTCTCGGCAGAAACTCTCCAATTCCTCTGCAATTCCACATCTCCAGATAGCCAGGCTTGATCGTTCCTGACCCTGACACGGGCAGGTTTGCGGCCAAAATGTTTTCACTCGAATTGACGGCTCCGTTGTCGAGTTTAAAGCATTTTTCTGCTGCACTGATCGCGCTCTCTGAGTTGAGCGCTGACATTGTCGTCACTGTTAGACTGAAATCTTAAAATCAACAAATACACTGCCTTGAATTCTACCTTTGGGGTTTAGTGGGGGAGCAGGGGAATAACTTGAATTGAAAATATTTTTGATTTGCAAAGAGAGATTCAGGAATATCATGATATGAGCGTACACACAAACACAGTTACGTTAGACTCACCCGCCCGCCCTTTTCCGACAGTCTCTCTGACTCAATATTCACATCCACACAGTCACAGGCCAGAAATATCGCCAAATGTAAGCCTTTGTTCCGACATCCAGGGAGTTAGTTGTAGTTTTTCTCCTCAGTAACTGTTAAACTCTCAGAGGCCTGTGCGCCGGAGATTCGCTCTTCTCCAGATTCAGCTGCAAGAGCCAATCATCTGGTTTGAAGTTTGCTCACCCAGATCAGTATTTTTCATTCCGGGGACAATACTCAACATCGGTTCTGGGAATAAACAGCCATAGAAACATAAATAATAGCACCTGGACCTAACCAATCGGCCCTTCAAACCTCTCCTCCCACTCATCATGAAAATGGCAGATCATCCAACTCAATAGCCTGTGTCAGTTTTTCTCTCATATAGAGTCATTCAGCAAGGATGCAGAACCTTCGGTCCAACCATTACATGCCGAATATAATGCCAACCTAAACGAGTTCCACCTACCTGTCCCTGGCCTATTTTCTTTCTTATTTATGTACTTATCCAAATGTCGTTTTAATGTTATAATTGTAGCCATAGAGACAATTTCGTCAGGAAGTTCATTCCTCATGCGTCCATGCTCGATGTAAAAAAAAACCCTCGTGTCTTTGTTTTAAAATCTCTCTCCTGTCACATTAAAAATGTCCACCCTGGTCTTCACTTCCACTCCCCCCTCCCCCACCTCCCCCCCATCCCATCCCAGGCAAAGGACAACGACCATCCACTCTGTCTCACCCCCTCATTATTTTATAAACTTCTATAAGATGACCCCTCAACATTCTATGCTCCAGTGAAAAACGTCCCAACCTATCCATCCTTTCTTTGTAACTCAAACCTCACACACATGGCAAATTATTGGTGAATCTCTTTTGAACCCTCTCCAGCTTAATAATATCTTTCCTCTAAATGTCCAACAAGAACTGGTCACAGTATTCCAGACGTGGCCTCACCAAAGACCCTTAGAACTTCAATGTGACTTCCCACCTCATAAACTCAAAGGACTGTGCAATGAAGGCAAGCATGCCTTCTTTACCAGCTGTTTAGATGTGATGCAGACTTCAACAGGACAGGTCCCTCTGTCCAACAACACTACCAAGTCCCTCCCATTAATCGTACAAGGCCTACCTTTGTATGTTGCTCCAAAATGGAAAATGTTGCATTCATCCAGATTGAATTCTATCTGTCATTTTGCAGCCCATCGAGGTAATTGATCAAGAACCATTTGTAATCTTCGGAAACCTTCTCCACTTCCTACTATGCTACTAACTTTGCTATCAACCACAAATTTGTTTACCATGCCTTCTATATTCTCATTCAAATCATTTATATAATGACAAGCAAAAGAGGACCCAATACCAATCCCTCTGGAACACCACAGGTTGACAGGCCTACGGTCCAAAAAGCAACCCTCCATCTTCACTCTCTGGCTCTTCCCATTAAGCCAATTATACCTTGATTCCGAGATAGTAGGAACCGCAGATGCTGGAGAATCTGAGATAACAAGGTGTTGAGCTGGATGAACACAGCAGGCCAAGCAGCATCAGAGGAGCAGGAAGGCTAACGTTTCGGGCCTTTGGCCACAAGTGCTACACCAACACCATATTGAAATCATACAATGGGTTGAACGTGGCTGATTTCTGTGGCAGAGAATTCCACAAGATCACCACTTTCTGAATGAAGCAGACTCTCACCTTCTCAGCCCTGATTGGCCTATCCTTTCTCCTAAAAATATGACTCCTACCAACAGGAATATTCTTCTTGCATTTATACTTTCTAGGTCTGTTAGTGTCTTATAGATTTCTAAGAGAATCCCTCATTCTTCTGAATTTCAGCACATATATTCACAACCAATTCAACCTATCCTTCCATCCCAGTAATCTGCCTGTTGAAACTACCTTCATAGTAATACCATCCTTCCTCAGATAAGGAGGCCAAACCTGCTCTCAGTATTCTAAGTGTTGTCTCACAGATGCCCTGTTAAATTGTCACAATTCACCATTTCTCCTGTACTCAAATCCTCTTTCCACAAAGGCCAACATACCTCTCGTCTTCCTCACTGCCTGCTGCACCTACATGCTTACTTTCAGTGATTAGTGTATGAGGACACCCAGGTCTCGTTGCAAATTTCACTGTGTCCATTTATCGACATTCAGAAAATGACCTCCCTTCCTTTTATTTTGTTACCAAAGTGGATAACCCTACATTTATACACATTATACAGTGTCTGATATGCATTTGCCCACTGACTCGACTTCTTCACAAGCAATGCATCCTCTTTCAGAACTGACCATCCAACCAATTTTGTGTCATTGTGAAATCTGGAGATATTACATTTGGTTCCCTCATCTAAATCACTGTGAATATATGGTGAAGAGCTTTGATCCTAAAATTGATTCTTGCCATTGAGAAAAAGATCCATGCATTCCCTCTATGTGTTTCCTATTATCCAGCTAGTTTTTTTTTTTAATGATTCTGAATGCGCTGCACCAATCCCAGTTCCTTGATGTTAACATGCCAATATCTTATGTGGGATTTTGTTAAAAAGTTTTTGTAAATTAAAATTAACACCTCTGCTTTATCATCTCTACTCCAGTAGATTTGTCAGGCTGGGAACATAGAACATTACAACAGAGGAACAGATCTTTCAAATCCATGCTGACTCTGTCTGATCCTGACATTTTATCCCAATTATCTGCAATAAAATCTTTTTTTTTCCCCTGGTCTAAAATTCCAAGTTTTATCTCTACACTCCCTTTACAAATAGATTGCTTATATTAGCTACCCTCCAATCTTTGGAAATTATTGTAGCGCCTATAAAGGTTTGGAACATCACCAGCAATACATCCACTATGTCTAAGAGCTCTGGGACATAAATTATCAGTCACTGGTATTTCCCAGCCTTCAATCCTATCAATATTCGCAACACAATTTACTGAATAATACTGACTTGATTCAGTTTCTCCCTCTCACTAAACTCTGATTTCCTCAACATTCCTGGTGTGTTATGTGTGTCGTCCTGTGTGAACATAGAACAACAGTAAATATTCAGTTGGGTAGCCATTTTTTATTCCTCACAAAGGACTCCCCCCTTTTTGATTGTAAGTGACACGCATTTGTGTTTACCAACCTAGTTTTATTTCCAACCTCCTTTTACATATTTATCAATACATTAACAGTTAGTTTTTAATGGCTTCTGCAAACTTGCTCTTTTCCACATTTTCTCATTCATAATCAATGCATTTGTTTATTCCTTCTTTCCTAATTTTGAAATTTTCCCCAGCTTCAGGGACTTTTATTTTCTTTCCAGTTCTTTTTCTTCTCAATTTGTACGCCTCTTCCTTGGATCAAAAATTATGTTAAATAGCCCTCTTACACGACAGTTTTGTAAACTGTCAAAAGAGCACCTTCCGTACTCACGAATACATCCATTTAAAAGGATTTGGGCAGCCGATGTGGAGGAACACTACCTTGATATTGGGCAAATTCCCATCCAAGCCACCCACCATCCTAACTTAGAAATATATCCCCTTTCCTTCACTGTCGCTGGATCAAGACCCTGGAACTCCCTACTAACGGCAATGTGGGCAGTACATGGATTCAACTGTTCTGGAAGGCGGCTCAGCACCACCTTCTCAAGGGAGGAAACTAGGGACGGGCAATAAATGTTGGGACCAGCCAGCGACATCCACGTCCCAGGAGTGAGTAAACAAGAACATTTGGGGTCTATTGTTGAAGTATCCCGTTCATCACAAGGTTTCTGTCTGCAGTATTCCTGAGAATAAAATCAGTCATCTACTCGAAACTGGTATTTGCATCTCGTTCCGGAGATGTTATTGCACACCTCTGGTCCGGGTGTAAGTTTAGCACGGTCCTCCTGACCCAGAAATAGGGACACTACCACCGCGCCGCAAGACTCCCTCCAACAGTTACATTCTGCCTTCGTAAGAATATCCCATTTGTTCCATCGGTCTGTATGTTATTTTGACAGAGTTAAAATGAAACGGAGGTCAGCAGGATTGAATACTACAGTTAACCTGAGATCCGACGTGATGTTATTGAATGGTGAAGCACATTAAAGGGCCGAATGGCCGTCAACTTCACAGCTTGTCCATCAGAATGTAAGTTATTAACATGACCCGGGAATGATCTCCATTGGAGCTTCAGAAAAGGCCAATGCCCCAGCTTGAAACGTTCTCTGCCCTTTCCCCCACAGCCCCATTTGCTTTGCTCAAGCTGGGAGTAAAGGGAATTGGGGAAATGACCAATTGATGTTTGTTTCTGGGACTCATTGAGAAAAGCAACGCATGCGCGATGCTGGCCCGGCCCCCAAAGCTGCTTGTTGCTGACTGGAGGAGCGCATGCGTTAGGCCCTCCCCCAGCGCTGCCATTGAGGAGCATTTATTCAGTGAGTGGAAGAGATTTGTTTGAAACAGTCCGCAATGGAGAGACCAGCGTCCAGGGAAGCGAGGGAACAGCAGGCTCCTTCCAGCAGCGCATCGCAATGTGAGTCCGGGACACAGAGGGGGGTTCCGACAGCGGCATTGATTCGGGCTCAGTTCAGGGAGAACCGGGGGCTGTTTGTAAGAGGCCGAGCGGAGCAGGAACTGGTCCCGGAACTTAGAGTGAGCGGCCTGGCGGGGAAGAGAGAGGCCTTTCTCGGGCTGTGTATGGGCCTGCTGAGGGAGACACAGCGGCAAGAAGCTGCTTGGGTGGTCATTCTTGTGATATTTAATCCTCCAAACGCTGATGGTAATTCACCGTCAGCTTCTGTTTCATGTTGTTTGTTGTCAATTGGCATTGAATCGTAAAGAAGTCACAGTACATACAAATGTGTTAATCGTGTAAAGTATAAATACAGCACTCGCTGGTTTAAAACTCTCGTTTGTTTTTTAGAATAGTGCGTGTTGTTCTTCCCTCAAATAGGTAGTGTATTGGGAGCTGGGTATTGAACTGTGTAAGTATTCAATTCATGGACCGTGCAGGTGTTGGTTAGTTTTTGTATCTTAGTAAATTGTTTTAGAATTTCGCAAAAAGAAAGAGACTAGGAGCAGCTCAGGTTCATGATGGAGCCAGACGCTTCTCTGTTTGAATTGTTGGCTTTAAAACAAGGAAGTATTATGAGTATTAATTAAATTTTGCATTGATCAGTTTTAATATTTTCAAACTCGTTGGATGTTGATTTACAGGAGAATTCTGTTCTGTCTTCCTCCAGGCAAATATTTGATGGGCCAAGACAATGTCATATTTCCACTGTACAGGACCAAGTGTGACCAGCTGCTCCTACCAAACAGCAGGTATGTTAGCAATGTCAGAGTGGAGAATTTACTTTCCACAGACACAGAGCTAAGATTTGCATTGAGCTCAATTTCCAGATAGATATATTCAATCCAAGGGTCAAACACCACCAACAAAATACAAATTTTTTTCTTCTCGATAAACCAGTGCAGTTCCAGTAAAGTTCATCTTTGAAAGCCCGTTGTCATTCACAGCATTTGAAGAGGGATAGATTGAATCTTCATTACAAATATACACTCTAATTGCATTGAATGCATGTTAAGTAAGGGCATTTTTAAAGTTACAATTAAGGTATATGAATAGATCAAGTTGTTACATTGTTACAATGACCATATATGGACTGGATATTGAGTACAGACATGGAAGGAAACTTTTGAAGTTATCAGTGACTGAGGAAGACAAAAATAATAGACAGAAGATTCTGGAAAAGCTCAGCAGGTCTGGCAGCATCTGTGACGAGAAATCGGAGTTAACGTTTCAGGCCTGGTACGCTTCCTCAGTTCTGAACAAAGGCCACCGGATCTGGGAGGCATTGACTTAGTGGTATTATCAGTGGACTGTTAATCCAGAGACCAGACAACACTCTGGGGACCTGGTTCGAATACCGCCACAGCAGATGGTGGAATTTGAATTCAATAAACATCTGGAATTAAGAATCTAATGATGACAATAAATCCATTGTCTGTTGTCAGGAAAAAAAAAAATCTGGTTCACTCATGTCCTTGGGGGAAGGAAACTGCCATCCTTACCTTGTCTGGCCTACATGTGACTCCCGACCCACAGCAATGTGGTTGACTCTGAACTGCCCTCTGGGCAATTAGGGACAGGCAATAAATGCGAGCCTAGTCAGCAACACCCTCATACTGTGAATGAATAAAGAATAAAACTTTTGAGAAGAGGTTATTCTGAGGAAAAAGGGAGCATTGCACAAACAACAACTGCAAGAACATTTGTTAGAGACAGTTTGAAGATTTGGAACAAACATTGAACGGGATAGTAAACTCCTGCAATAACAAACAGATGAACTAATAGGATTATGGTTCACATAAGTACGACAGGATCAAACACGTTCATTAAATTACGGTCGTAATTGATTCCAATCTCATTAATGAAAGGATGTTGTCCCTTTAGGTGAACAGAGTTAGTTAGGGCAAGGAGTGTGAATCATCCCAAAAGACAGTCAGCCTAGACAGTCATGAAAACAGCAGATCACACCATTTTGCAGCGATTAGTTGTTTCTTTGAAATTATTCACAGTATTAAGAAATAGATTCTAGTTAAACATTCTTCAGATAATTGTGTTGAAATCTATAAATATACATACATAATAAAATACAAAATCACTAAAAGCATTAGGGAAAAGATTCAAATAGAGAATAGAGAAGGTAGTTAGTCTCTGGAGGCTTTCCTATATCACTGAAGGAATGCTTAGTGCACCTTGTTAAGGTGAATAATTAGTTCATGCCATTGCATAGTTACACCAACCATATGTGAAGTAGGTACTGAGTACAGATATGGACGGAAACATTCACATCAGTAACTGAGCAGGACAGTATTATACGTTTGACCAATACATGTCCCAGGCAGAGACAGAACAATTAAATAATGTGACTTTTAAACACACACATCCTGTGCCAAAGCCTGACAGAGAATGCTTACTGAGTGCACGTGTTCTCTCTCTCTCTCTCTCTCTCTGTCTCTGTCTCTCTCTCTCTCCCCTGCACACTCATACGCACACACTCCCGCGCGCGCGCACACACGCATGCACAGTGATTTACAATGAGTTGCAAATACATACACTATCCCGACACATCTAACAGCCATGAAGATCATGTACACTGCAAGCCTCAGAACGTGTAACATTCAAAGTGATTTCTCCTCATGGATTTCAGATTAGAGAGCTAGCTTTTCATGATAAGAGACAAACAGAACAGAATGTGAGCTAAGTAATTCAATCCCCATGCATTTAAATCCATGGTAATTGCCGTGGTCATAAACTAAATATCATTTGTTCACTCCATCGGAAAAAACTGTTGAATTTTGTGACAGAATTCTCATGAACTGCTCCAAGAAATAAATTGAAGAGGATATTAATTGCACCTCCAAATGTCTCACCATCTCTTTGACTTAGAGAGGCAATTGGAGTATCAACTCCTTTTGTATAAACTGGAGGAATTGCATATCAGGACAAGTTTCAGATTGAAACCTATATTGCCATTGAATTTGTTTGCACAGAACTATAAACTGAAAAGCAGAACCCATCTGATACACAACTACTGAATATAAAGTTTGTTATTAAATGGGACAGAAGGAAATCAAATAAGATACAGAAAAAACATACATTCAAGCAGATAACCAAGGTTGATGACTATACAATTAAGAATGTCTCGAACAGTGAACTTGCGAAGAAAATGAACACTAAACTCTAAACACATTGAGACCAGACACTGACCAATCCCAGAATAAAATTTAAACTGTACCATAGCCTGAATATTGTGGAATGTACTCAACCCGCAGGCACACTGCCAGAGACATACAATGGTAAAAACACTAACAGTTTCACTTACACATTTGGCAGCAAGTAAAATCTGATTTGTGTTGAGGAGCAGATATTTGAACATCAAAGAAAACCTGCAACTTCTAAAAGTGCAATATTCGACTGAAACTGACAGTCACAGGTTAAGGACTTCACTTGCACATTCACACAGCAGAAACTTGACAGGGAGAGAATGACAAATGCATTCACACATTCACAAACCCGTTAGTGACAGGTATAGGTTAATAACTAGTCACTCAGATTTACAGGGCAGGATCTGACTGGGACAAATGGGTAAATACACTCACACGGCCATAGGGAAGAAACTGACACGCACATCGTGGTAAGTACACTCTCATATTCGCATATCGGAAAATGACAGGGACAGAATGATAATTGCACACACATTCAGACTGCAAAAAACTGACTGGTAGAGATTGATAAATGCATGCACATGTTACAGAAGGAAAAAGCATCAACATAGAGAGTTGATAACGACACTTGGATATTCACAAAAGAATTTGACAGGTACATTTTCATAACACTGTGGTTGGTTTGCTTGCGGAGCTGGTTCGTCAGTTTGCAAAGATTTCATTACCCTGCTGGGTAACATCATCAATGCAGCTTCCGATGGTGTTACCCAGCAGGGTAATGAAACATCTGCAAATGAATCAACCAGCTCGGCAAGCGAACCAACCACAGTATCCATGACCCAATCTATTCAGGACCCTTAGACATATTCATAATACAGCCCCGCATTCACGAAGCAGGAAGTGACGGCTACAGATTGATGACTAAACTCACATATTACACAGCAGAAACTGAGAGGGACAGATTAGTGACCACATTCACATCTTCACATGACAGCTCTGACAGGTACAGATCAATAACTACACACAATTATTCACAAAACCAAAGCTGACAGATACAAATTAAAAACAGTGCTCTCACATTCCCCAAGTAGAAACTGACAGGTATTTTTTGATAACGAAAGCACACATTCACAGAGCAGAAACTATGAGGGATAGAATAATAATTGCACAAACACAATTGAACATTCTCGTTGCAGACATTGCACCAAAATAAAGGATGAATGGCACTTAAGTTTAGTTTACCAATTACTGGTCAGGACAGAATTGCTCCTTTGCTAAATATTAATCCCACACATAAACACAACAAATAAATGATGTGAATTCCAAACACATTTTCTGTGCCAAAGCCTGCCAAATAGAAAAACCAAGGAACTGCAGATGATAGAAATCAGAAACAAAAGTAGAAATTGCTGCAAAAACTCAGCAAGTCTGGCAGCATCTGTGAAGAGAAACGAGTGTTCTGAAGTTCAACCTCTGTACTGAAGAAGTGTCACAGGACCTGCAATATTAACTCTGCTTTGTCTCCATGTGGATGGACTGACAGACACAGGTAGTGACTGATTCAGAATTAGTTCAAAACGCAAACACCATAACTGCAGATATGATGCAAGGACTAACAGCTATGGAGTTCCATTTAAACTCCAGGTAACAGAAAATGATATATACAAAATGATTACCACTCATACATATATAGTCATAGACATCTGCAGCACAGCAAACAGTCCTTTCTCTCAGAGTCTGTACCGGTTAGAAACAACCAGCCAACAATTCTACATCCATTCAGCCAGCATTCAATTTCCATAAATATATCATGGTGGCAGAGGAACTACCATCCCTACCTTTATCACCGGATAGTTCTCAAGTTTGTCACCGAGCAGGAATAGATTTTTCTTTTATTCTGTCCTAAGCAAGAGGACTTTATAATCATGGACTTTTTCTTTTCAAATTAGCTTAAATTTTGTTCAAATAGCCCTGTGTTCCTCTTGACACTCCCTATGAAGTATTACATCAAATACACTAGAAAACTAGATGCCATTTTCTCAAAAAAGCAGCATAATTAAAAAGCCATTCTTCAAAACAGTGGAGAAAGAAAGATTTAGCCAAATTACGTAGATATGTAAATATTCTCTTTTTTTTTTGCCAGGAGATTTCAACAATGTTTATTCTTCAGTAAATTTAATTTGACTGTTCCAGTTTCTCCACTGCATGACAGAAGACAAAAGTACTGTCTTCTTCCTCCCCACATAGAGAGGGTAATGTCTGAGCCACAAAATCAAATAGAAGTAAATAAGCCAATTTTCTTTCCTGCACAAGGAACATTGTGGTCAGTCAGCTGCAATGCAGTTGATTTGTTCATTGCACTTTCCTTTTGGCAATAACATATTAAATTAATACCTTTTACTTCAGCAGTCTTGCAAAACGTATGTCACTATGCAATGTTAAACAATACTAGTATCATCTTGAAGATGTCCCTTGATATCACCACTGCTGGTTAGACTCTGCAATATAGCAGTTGCAAAGGTCCATTGCTTTTCCCTCCTCAACTCTAAAGAAAAGCACAGACTCATTACTATTGCAATGTCTTGCATTTTCATTTGCCTATGAATGCTACAGGCACAAACAACTGAAGAACTTAGGCTGTTTCCCATTCACTACAGGAGAGATGACCTGAAAACTCTGTCCTCTCCCATTGTGGTAAATGGTTCTCCAATTTACAGGAAACATTTAAACTGCTCAGTAACACAATGCAGGAAGATTGAAACAGGATCAATCGAGTGTGGCTGTCTATCTTGTTTCATTACAACAGCTCTTTTCAAAAAACTCTCATATGAAATCTGAGAATTTACACAACAGAGAGCAGCCCTCCTGAGTATTAAATTTTAGTTTCCAAGTTCTTCACAAAATAATCAGGCTGGTCTGTGTTGACGGTCTGTCCAATTTTTAAGAACAACAGACTGAAACCTGCAGTCCCATTGAATAGCACATACTGACGGATAGAGAAGTAATTCCCAAATGCATAAATTGTACAAGTGAATGGAAGAAACGAGTAACAGAGAAGACCAAATAGGCTGCACCAGTTATTCTCCTTATTCATGCAATTAAGGACTTGAGGAAACTGATTTTCTGACACAACAAAGAGTGCAGTGAGATGGTGCCAATACACAGTGGGTACAGAATAATTGACAAAGCACAGAGATGCTGCCAGGTTAGTAGAGCCCCAGGCAAAAACACCAAAATGTCTTTACTGTCAAAGATCATATGGATGGGAGAGCTAGCTTTTCATTAATCATTAACAGGACAGGGTGAGAGTGAAAAACTTCAATCCCAGTATGTGAGTACATTCCTTTAAGATTAAGTATGTGGTATCAGCTTGGCATAAAGTAAAGTAGTCTTGTTTTCTATGTTAGAAAATACTGAAGCTATTACATGATCCACGATGAATTCTCCTGAAACAGCCCAAGAAGTAAATTGAAATCCAGATTAAATATGCCTCCAAATATCTCACCTTGTCTTAGACTTGGACATGTAACTCATGTATCAATTTCTTTTGTAGAAAGTACAAATTAAAAAACAGCAAACATCTCATACAAACGTACTGAATAAAAATGTTGTTGTTAAATGGACCAAAAAGGAAATCAAACAGTGACATGAACAGATACAGACAGAAAACCAGAGATTATTGGAAATAGATTGAAGAAACACTCATATAATGACCTTGTTATAGAAGGAATAGATTTGAAATACACATTCAGATGAGAAACTGACCAATCCAGAACAAAAATTACCATCATAAAGTGTACGGCATCTACAGGGTCAGAGACTGACAAAGGTATAAGCACATCCAGTTTCATTTAAAGGATCTGATACATATGGCATTGGGTAAAATCTCATTCATTTTGCGCAGCAGAGATGTGAACAATGAAAAACTCCAGCAGTTCCTGCAAGCTACATGTTCAACACAACATGAAACTCATGTACTGTGAAATACAATGACAAAGAATGAGGAGCACATTGCCACATAATACCAGAGACTGAATGGATCCCATGCTGACTGCTAGCCCGATGCTGATGAAAACTAACTTTAACCACACTCTCAATCTTGTTGAGCGACTGACTATGGCAGAAGTATGTCCACACTTACTTAACATAAGAAAATTTGTAATACATTAATCCCACCTCATAAAGGGTATCAGATGCAGAACTGGAAAGACAAGGAGACGTATACAAAAGGACAGTGTGACTTAGACCAGTACCTGCCTTTAATTTAGATTGGCAGCACATTAGAAATCTCATTCACGTGCAACGAGTAGATGCTGAAAGGAAAAGAATGAAATTGATACCTGTGGTCAGCATGGACTGTTGGAACAAAGGGTCTGTTTTCCCGCTGTATGACTCTATGACTAGATAACTACACTCTCATGTTCACAAAGCCGAAACTGATACGAAAAGATTCATAAAACACACCCAGTTTCACATGGCATAAACTGACAGGTACAGTTTGATAACTATACTCTCATATTCACTGAGCAGAATCTGACACAGAGAGATTAATAACTATATTTCCATATGCACAACATAGAAACTGACTGGAAAAGGTTTATAAATGCATTTAAACATTCACAGTGCAGATACTGATAGGGACAGTTTGATGATCATGTTTGTATACCCATATAGTCGAGAATGACAGGTAGAAATGGATAACTACATTCACATATTCATGTAGAGGAAACTGACAGTTACAAATTAATAACAACATTTGTATATTCACATCGCAGAAACTAATAGTTAAAGATGAATAACCAAATTCTCAGACTCACAGAGCAGAAAAAGACAGGTACAGATTGATAACAGCACTCAAATATTCGCGTTGTGTGTTCATGTGTGAACATAAACAGATTAATAACAAAACTCACATATCCACATAGCAGAAACTGGCAGGAACATATTGATGATAACACTCGCAATTTCACAGAGCATAAAGTGATGGGTACAGATGGATAACTGCACTTTCATATCCACAGATTTAAAAAAATACTGACAGGCACAGTTTGATATTTATACTCAAATATTCACAAAGTAGATTCTCACAGGTACATATTGATAACTTTACTTGAAAATTGACAGAGAAGAAACTTTTAGATACAAGTTGCTGTACATGCACATTTCCACATCGAAGAAATTGACAGGAATAGATTGAAAATAACCTTGGAGATAGCAAGAACTGCAGGTGCTGGAGCCAGCCTTCCCAGTTTCACATGGCATAAACTGACAGGTACAGTTTGATAACTACTGTCATATTCACAGAGCAGAATCTGACAGGTCCTTATTGATAACTGCACTCACGCGGCCACCAAGTAGAAACTGACAGAGATTGATAACAGTGACATTCAAAATTGCAGAAACTGACAGATACAAGTTGATAATTGCTGTCACGTTTGCATTGCAGTTACTGTCAGGGTCAGATTAATAACTATGCTGTTGTTGACTTGCTCACCAAGCTTGTAAGTTTGTTCACAGACGTTTCGTCACCACACTATGTAACATCATCAGTGCACCTCCAGTGAAGCAGTGGTGTTCTGTCCTCCTTGCTGTTTCAATATGTATCAATGAGGTTCTGCTCTGTGAATACTTGAGTGTAGTCATAAATCTATACCTGTCAGTTTATGCTATGTGAAACTGGGAGTGTTATCGGTTTGCTGGGGTGGGTGGCATCACTTCTGGATTTTTCTCTTAGTATATGGTGTCCAGCTTGACATGTTTATTAATGGAGTTCCAGTTTGAGTGCCAGCCTCCAGGAATTCTGGTGCGTGTCTTTGGTTGGCTTGTCCTAGGATGGCTACATTGTCCCAGTCAAATTGGTGTCCCTCTTTGTCCATGTACATTGAGATGAGTGATAGTTGGTCATGTCTCTTGGTAGCTAGTTGGTGTTTATGAATCCTGATGGCTAGTTTCCTACCGGTTTGCCCTATGTAATGTTTATGGCAGTCTTTTCATAATATCTTGTAAATAACATTGGTTCTGTCAGTCGTGGCTGTTGGATCCTTTATTCTCATCAGTAGCTGTCGGTTTGTGGGCTACCATGATTCCTACTGGGCGGTGTAATCTGGTGGTCTTTTCTGATATGTCTTTAATGTATGGCAGAGTGACTAGTGTCTCTGGACGTGTTGTGTCTTCCTGTTGTCATCTGTTTTGTAGGTATCGGCGACGACACTTTTCGGGTAACCGTCACTTCTAAAGACACTATCATTGTTCTTCCTTGGCTTTACACAGCTCTGGGTGTGACAGTGTGTTGTGGCTCACTTGAACAGGGTTTTGATGCAGCTCCGTTTGTGGGTATTGGGATGATTGCTATTGTAGTTGAGTACCTGATCCATATGAATTACAACCCTTAATAACTACGCTTTCAGACTCTCAGAACTAAAACTGACAGATACAGATTGATAACTAAACATTCCGGTAGCAAAACAGTGTCATGGATAGACTGATAATTTCAGAAACACATTCACTGAGTAGAAACTGACAGGAAGAGAAGGATATCTATACTCAGGTACCCACTTACCAGAAACTGACAGGAACAGGTTGATGATAACACTCCCAGTTTCACATAGCATAAACTGACAGGTATAGATTTATGACTACACTCAAGTATTCACAGAGCAGAACCTCATTGTTACATATTGAAAACTGCACTCACAAATTCATCTCACAGAAACTGACAGGTACAGATTGATAACTAAACTGTCATATTGACATAGCAGAAACTGAGAATGAACTCACACATTCACACAGCAGAAAGTGAATAGTATGGACTGATAACGGCACTTTCACATTCATGTTACATAAAATGAGAGGCATCAATGAATAACAACACTGTCATATTCAAGTCTGACAAACTGACAGGTACAGGGTGATAACTACACTGTCTCATTCCAATTGCATTAACTGACAGGTACAGATTGATGATGGACTCATACATTCACATAACAGAGACAGATAGATAACTGCATTCATTCACAGAACATAAACTGTGTGGACTAGGTTGACAACTGCACTCTCAGATTCACAGAGCAGAAACTGACAGGTACAAATTAAAACTGCACTCATACATTCACAAATCAGAAACTGAAAGGTCCAGGTAGATATCTACACTCACATATTCACACAGCGGAAACTGTCATGAACAGAATGATCATAACAGTCTGTCTCCCACAGCACAACCTGACAGGTTCACTTTGTAACTACACACATTCACTGAGCAGAAA